TTTTGGTGGTCCTCCTGCTTCTGCCTCCAATGTGCTGGGATTATGGGGATGTGTCACCACACCAGGCTTGCTTTCCTACATCTTTCTTTTTGTGGGTGCTGGGAATTTAATTCACGATTTTGTGCATGAAGAATATGTACTCTAAACAGTTTAGAGTTCATGCTTGATTTTATTTTATTTGTATTTGGAGACAGGGTCTCATCTAGCCAGGATTGGCCTGGAACTTGAATGTAACTGAGGATAATCTTGAATTCCTGATCCTTCTGCCTTCCCAAATTGGAGGATTACAGGTGTGCCACCCATTGCCTGACTTTCAGGCCTGTAATTAATTTTTATTTTATGCATATGAATGTATTCCTGCATGTAAGTGCACCTGTATTGTGTATTGCCCTGGGAGGTCAGAAGTGTGCATTGGATTTCCCTGGAATTGGTTTTTAGATGGTTGTTAGCTGCCATGTGGGTGCTAGGAATCTAATCTGGGTTGACCCTCTGCAAGAGCAGCCAGTGCTCTTAACCACTGAGTCATCTCTTTAGTCCCCAGGTCTTTTATTTTAATGGAAGGCCTCCTAGGAGGTGGTTGTGTGATAGAAAGAATTATGTTAGGCATGGTAGTGCATGTCTTTTTATCCTAGCACTTGGGAGGCAGAGGTAGGTGGATTTCTGAGTTCAAGGCTGGCCTGGTCTACAAAGTGAGTTTCAGGCCAGCTGGGGCTACAGGGGACTACAGGAAGACCCTATCTCAAAAAAGACGCCCCCCCAAAAAATTAATTCTTTTTTTTTTTTGAGACGGGATCTCCTTGTATTCTCAACTGGCCTGGAACTGGCTATAGAAACCAGGCTGGCCTGGATCTCACAGAGATCCACCTGCCTCTGCCTCTCAGTCCTGAGATTAAAGGTGTGTGCTACTCTGTCTGGCAGAAAGAATTCTGAAATCAGGCATTCCTAAGGTTTTCTTCTAGGTTCTGTTACTTAGACTTGAACTTCAGCCAAGTTATGCCATATAATTTCCTTCTTTGTGATAATACAATTATTAATGACTACTTACTTTGTACCAGCCTTGTGCTCTTTAGATGGATTAGCTCCTTTAATCCCCTACCTGCTGCTTGCAGGGAGATATGAGTGATAACACCACACCCATTTTACAGAGAAGAAACAGAGTCATAGAGGATAAGCACGTTTTCACAAATTCATTCAGCTAATAAGGGTGGGAGGTGGGTGTGATGTAGCATGCTTGTAATTTCAGCATTTAGGAGGTGGAGGCAGGCAGTCAGGAGTTCAAGAACAGCTTCAGCTATATATATGTAAGTTTGAGACTAGCCTGAGCTAGATGAAACCCTGCCTTAGACAAAAGATAGAGTTGGGGATTCAAGGCCCAGTATTTAATTTCCTACACCAAATTCTATGATCTCTGTAACTGGGGACCCCTGCACAGGGCCTACTAAGTGATAGCAACTTAGAGCACATCCATTTCTAGTTTGCCTTCTTTTTTTAAAAAAAATTAAATATTAAAAAAAAAATGTATGTTTTGCTTGCACAGATGTAAGTGCACCTGTGTCATGCAGTGCCCGTGGAGATCAGATGAGGGCGTCGGATCCCCTGGAACTAGTATTATGGATGGTTGGAGGCTGCTATGTGGGTACTGGGAACCAAACCTAGGTTTTCTGCAAGAGCAGCCAGTGCCTTTTACCACTGAGCCATTTCTTCAATCTTCTTTTTCTTTCTGTTTCTTCTCCTTCCCTTTCCTGTGTTTTCGAAGCCAATTTAAGGGTTTTCTCATGTTTTGCATGTTTCTTCCCTTCCTCCTCAGGGTCTCACTTTATAGCCTATGCTGGCCTGGAATTCTGAATCTTCCTTGTTTTCTAAGCACTGGGATTACACATGTGTGTTACCTGGTCTAGTTTGTACTTTTTTTTTTCTTCTGTTGTGAAAAACTATAAATTTAGGAAACTAAGAGGAAAGGAACAGTGACCTATAATGCCTTTTTTCTTATAGTCTTTTTTTTTCTAAAATTATTATTATTATTATTTTTTTAATTTAATCTTGTTTGCTTTATTTTGAATTCCTAAAGTTCACAAAAGCTTACAGTATGTTTCCCCACATTGATCATCAAGGCTTTATGGTAAGAATGAAAATGTTATCACATCTAAAATTATTTTTATTTTTTATTGTGAATGTGTGTATATGGGCATGTGATTACTGGTATCCTTGGAGGCCAGAGGTATTGGATACCCTGGAGTTGGAGTTACAGACAGTTGTGAGCCATCTGACCCAAGTGTTGGGAATGGAATTTGGGTCCTCTGCAAGGACAGTACACATTCTTCACCACTGAGCCATCAGCACCTGGTTTATGTGGTCCTGGAATTTGAACTCCAAGGCCTCATGCAAGCCAGGTATGCTTTGTACCAACTGAGTCACATCATGAGCCCCATGTTCATTCATTACAGTGGTGATGCTCCTGGTATCAGATAGCCTTTATGCTGGTAGTTGATCTTTAGGCTGGAAGTTGATCTGGCATTGCTTAGTCAGTGTAGGTTGTTGATATTCAAGGTTGTTAGAAGGGCCTAGATGTGGTGGTGCGTGCCTGTAGTTCCAGCACTTGGGAGGCAGAGGCAGGGGAAGTTTAAGTCCATTCTCAGCTACATAGTGAGTTATAGGCTAGTCTGTGTTGAGACTTTTGTTTCAAAAACAAGTGGGAAGGGGGGCTGGAGAGATGGCTCAGTGGTTAAGAACATCAATTGTTCTTGCAGAAGACCCAGGTTTGAATCCCAGCACCCACATGGCAGCTAACAACTGTCCGTAACTCCAGTTCCAGGGAGACCCTGTCTCAGACCAAAAAAAAAAACCAAATGGGAGGTAGTCTACAGTTCGTGGTGTCTTGCTCCAATGCCCTGAGAGTTCAGAGCAGCCCTGTCTCCATGACAACCACACTAGCTCTCCCCACCCAGCTTTTTATTTTACTTACTACATTTATTTTTGATTTATTTTGTGTATGTGTAATGTGTGTGGGTATGCTCATGCCACAGCACTCCTGTGGAGGTCAAAGGACACCATTCTAGAGTCAGTTCTTGCTTTCCTTCTTGTGGTTTCCAGGGATGGAACTCAGGTCATCAGGTTTGGCAGTAGGCTTGTTAGCAAGTACCTTTGCCTGTTGAACTTTTTTGAGCTTTCTGTGGCAGGGCAGTGGTTCTGGACTTACTACATAGGTCAGGCTGTCCTCAAGACTCTGATCCTTCCTTAGCCTCCTGAGTCCTGGGTTTGCAAGTGTGAACCAGGCTGCCTGGCTTGTCTTTTTTTTTTAATTTAAATTTTTTATATATTTTAGTTATTTTTACGTGTATGAGTGTATTGCCTGCATGTATGTGAGTGCACCCTTGAGACAGGGCCTCCCTGTAGCCCCAGCTGTCCTGGAACTCACTATGTACACCAGGCTGGCCTTGAACTCAGAGATCTACCTGCCTCTGCCTCGTGAGTGCTAGGACTAAAGGCGTGTGCCACCATGCCCAGCTTATTTATTATTTTTATTTTATGCGTATGAGTGTATTGCCTGTATGTAGGTAAGCGCACCAGTGTCGTGCAGTGCCTGCAGAGGACAAAAGAGGCTGTTGGATCCCCTGGAACTGGAGTTATGGACAGTTGTTAGCTGCCACGTGGGTGCTGGGATTCGAACCCAGGTCTTCTGCAAGAACAGTCAGTGTTCTTAACTGCTGAGCCATCTCTCCAGCTCCCTTTATTTTTATTTTTATTTATTTATTTGTGTGTGTGTATATGCCATGTATGTGTTCATGCCTGTGAAAGCTAGAAGAGGGCATCTGATCCCCTGGAGTTGAAGTTACAGGCTGTGTGAGCCTCCTTTATATGGGTGCTGGGAACTGAACTCAGGTCCTTTGGAAGAGCAGCAAGTGCTCTTAATCACTGAACCATCTCTCCAGGACCCCCCCCCCCCCTTTGTTTTTAGTGTTGGTTTGGGACTCAGGATCTTGCACATGCTAGGTAAGTGCTCTACTACAAGCTGAGTTACTACTGAATTGTACCTCCCACTCTAGAACTTTTTCTTTTTCTTGTTCTTTTTGAGATAAGGTCTCCTGTAGCTTAGACTGGCCTCAAACTCGTTAGGAGAAAAATGACCTGGAACAATTGTTTTTTCTTAAGCAGAGGGAACAGATTTATTAAAGGAAAATAAGAAAAAGCCTTGAGGATGGGAAGGCTTTCAAGGGGGAAATACCAGACTTGAACTTCTGTTCTTCCTTCCTCTGCTTGCTTAGATTACCATGCCTGATTTTATTGGGTACTAAGGATCCAGCCCAGGGCCTTGAGCATGCTAGGCAAGCACTCTACACCCCCAGCCCTCCAGCTTTCTTTTGGTAGTCTTCCAGCAGTACAGCCAGGTACTATCAGTGTGTCTCTGAGTTTTGTTTGTTTTGTTTTTCTTGCTTTGTTGCCCAGAGCTGGCCTTAAATTTATTCTGGGCTCAAGGGATCCTCCTGCCTGAGCCTTCCAAGTTGCTTTCAGGCCCAAGCCACCATTCTTGGTTAGTGTCTCAGCCAGCCTGCCTCTCTCCCTGCCTCCCCTCCTCTCCTCTCCCCTCCCCCCCTTCCCCTCGCCTCCTTCCCTTCATTCCTTCATTCTTTCCTTCTGGTATTTGAGACAAGGTCTCCCTGTACCCTCAGCTGGCCTGGAACTTGCTATGTAGACCCTGCTGGCTTTGAGTGCTGGGATTAAAGGCATGGGCTACCTTTGTTTTATTTCTAGCACTTGAATTTTAATTGAGCCCTCAATTAAGCATTGCTGAATGGGTCCTATACATTTCCAGACACCACAGATGGGGGCACCATAGAAGAGGAGCTAGTAGTGGGGATACCTGATGGGAGGGGAAGGCACAGAGAGAGGGTCATGGAGCTTGGTGTTTTGAATAATGCCTGCTTGTTTTTTATGTGTGCTAGTGATGCTACACCCCAGGCAGACTTTGCCAAGTTTCATAAATATTTGATTGGCTTTTTCAGGAGAATAAAAGCAGCCCCGTTGATGACTGAAAATGACAAAGCATCCACCTAACAGAAGAGGAATCAGCTTTGAAGTGGGAGCCCAGTTGGAAGCCCGGGACCGGTTAAAAAACTGGTACTTTTATATTCTTCTGCTAATTAAAACCCACTAGGAAAGGATTTTCTCCAGCACTGATAGAGTGGTAGCCACCATGGTGGCTTTTTGGCTTCTGGATTCTTGGAAGATGCAGGGAATCTTAAGTTTAGAACACAGTACTGTCTTTTCTCTTTGGTACAGGAATCCTGGGTCAGGGCGGCTGTCTTGGGACCTCCTAGGTCACACCTGTTCCTCCTTTTCCCTGTTTGATGAAATAGTTATGGGGAAAAGGAATATGAGGGGCCACGGGAAGGGAAGAGTTAATAGCTGCCGCTTTTCTACTCTTGGCTGGCTGACTGGAAGAAGAGCAGAAAGAAAGCTCGGAGGTGGAGATGGAGCTGAAAGGAGGTTGTTGGAAATAGCCTCTGCTCTCACAGCTCCTCCTGTTTTCTGGATGTGGTGTGGGATTGCTGAAGTGTGGTTATCACACAAGGCTATGTTAGGGCTAGGCTATTGTGCTAGATAGCTTTGGTTATCAACTTGACACATCTGGGTAGAGGGACCCTCAACTGGGGAAATTGCCTCCATTGGACTGGCCTATGGCCATGTCTGTGGGGCATCTTGATTATTGAGTGATGTCAGAGGGCCCAACCCACTGTGGGGGCAGGTGGGCCTATGTTGTATGAGAAAGCAGGTTGAGCCAGGCATGGTGGTACACGCCTTTAGTTCCGGCACTCCCAGAGGCAGGCAGATCTCTGTGAGTTCAAGGCCATCCTGGTCTACATAGTGAATTCCAGGTCAGCTGGGGCTACAGAGAGACCCTGTCTCAAAAAAGACCAAAATAAAAGAAAGAAAGCAGGTCGAGCATGGGCTAGGAGGGAGAGCAACCCAATAAGCACCATTCCTCCATGGCCTGTGCTTCAGCTCCTGCCTCCAGGTTCTGTCCCTGAGTACCTTGGGCTCCCTCAGTGATGAACTGTCTATCACCTGGGAGAAGTTGAAAAAACCCTTTCCTTCCCAAGTTGGTATTGGTCAGAGTGTTTTGTCACAATAATGGAGAAACAAATTAGGACAGCTGTGTTAACAAAAATAGCTGTGATTGAGGACATCATAGAATTTGGTCATTTCTTAGTGCCTACATTGTAGGTGGAGTTTTTAGAATATAACTCTTAGTAGTTTTCTCAGAAAGCTTAGTTCTTAATGGTAATTATCACAGACAGATTGACTAGTGCCTGAGGTGTAGCAAGAGGGGCAGGGAAGTGACTGGGGCAGAAGACTTCCCTGCTTTTAGAATTAGGAGATATTGGGACTAGAGAGGTAGCTCAGTGTGGCCTGGTGAGGCCTGGGTTCAAGTCTCTAGCACCTTAAAAACAAAAAGAAAAAAAAAGAAAATGGGTAGAAGCTTCCTGGGTCACTGCCTTGGAGCTTGGTAAGTCTGCCTACTTTTTTAAATTCTTCAGAAAGCCACACTTCCTTTTTTCTTTTTAGTTCTTTTCTAAGCCTGCTTTCCTTAACATTTTTGGCTTTCCCAACATTTTGGCTTTCCATATTCTCTCTCTAAAGCTCCCTTCCCACCCTGGCTATTAGCCCTCCCTGTGGCTACTAGTCTGCCATTTGTCTGATCTGACTTCCATGTGGCATAAATGGCATGGTTTCTCTCCCTCTTTCCTCCATTCTCGACCTCTGGGAAGCTGCTGAGATTTACAGCTTGCTTGCCCTGAGGATTTTTCTTTATAGTCTAATAAAATTATCTTTAAGCTTAAAAAAGAAAGAAAATGTAGTTAGGCCTATTATGTTTGCATATACTGAACATTTAGTTGTTTTTAGGCTGTTTGCATTATCTATAATTATTTTTCATATTGATTTCAGCTACTTATTTCTAAATTTTGTGCTGTGTGTGTACGTGGGTGTATACATGTGTGTGTGTGTATGTGTGTATGTGTGTGTGTGTGTGTGTGTGTGTGTGTGCGTGCGTGTGTGCAGCATGCTGCTATGATCTGCTCACCCTAGTCCTGGGGTTACAGACTCACGTCACTATGTGTGATTTTTACTTGGATGTTGGGGATTCAAACTAAAGTCCTCATGTTTGCATAGCAAGCACTTTACTCCCTGAGCCATCTCCTCAACTCCATCAACTTTTTTTTTCTGTAATGGGGATTGAACACAGGGCCTTGTGCTTATTAGGCAAGTGTTCTGTTACTGAGCTACATTCCCACCCTCTGTGTGTGTGTGTGTGTGTGTGTGTGTGTGTGTGTTTAACTTATTTCTTATTTATGTATGTGTGTGTGTGTTGTAGGTACACATGTGAAAGTTGGAGAACAGCTTTCGGGAGTTGGTTCTCTGTCCACCATGGGATCCAGGGATCAAACTCAGGAACTCAGGTCATAAGGCTTGTGCAGGAAGAACTTTTTTATGCTAAAGGCAGGTTTTGGTGTTTTTTTTTTGTTTGTTTGTTTGTTTGGTCTTTTTGAGATAGTATCTCCCTGTAGCCCCAGCTGGCCTGGAACTCACTAAGTAAGTAGACCAGGCTGGCCTGGTTCTCACAGAGATCGTCCTGTCTCTGCCTCCTGAGTGCTGGGACTAAAGGCATGCACCACCATGCCTGGCTGGTTTTGGTATTTTTCATATATTTCCAATATATATATATATATATTTTAATGTGTATGAATGTATTACCTACGTGTATGTGAGTGCATCTGTGTCGTGCAATGATGCAGAGGTCAGAAGGGGGCTTCAGAGTCCCCTGGAACTGGAGTTAAGGATGGTTCATAGCCACCATGTGGGTGCTAGGAATTGAGCCCCGGTCTTCTGCAAGAGTAGTCAGTGCTCTTAACTGCTGAGCCATCTCACCAGCCCCTGGTTTTGGTATTTTTTTTTTTTTTTTTAAAGTTCATATTCTTTGGTGCAACTGTAATGGTATTTTTTTTTTTTTGTCTTTTTGAGACAGGGTCTCCCTATAGTCCCAGCTGTCCTGGAACTCACTATGTAGACCAGGCTGGCCTTGAACTCACAGAGAGCCACTTGCCTCTGCCTCCCAAGTGCTGGGACTACAGGCATGCGCCACCATGCCTGGCACGGTATTTTTTTTTTAAATTAATTTATTTTATGTGTATGAGTATATTGCCTGTATGTATGTGAGTGCACCCATGTTGTACAATGCCACGGAGGTCAGAAGAGGGCTTCGGATTCCCCTGGAACTGGAGTTAAGGACAGTTTGTAGCTGCCATGTGGGGGCTGGGAATGGAACCTGGGTTCTCTGCAAGAGCAGTTGGTGCTCTTAACCGCTGAGCCATCTCTCCAGCCGGTTTTGGTATATTTTAAGGCTGCTTTTACCAAGCATGGTGACTTAGGCTGAGGTAGGAGGATCTGTATTTTAAGGCTAGATTGGGCAATATGAGACTGTCTCTCAGGAAACCCCAAAATAAAGATTATTTTAATTAAATTAATTAAAATTATGTATATGTGTGTATCTGTATGTGGTATGTGCTTGTGAGTGCATGTACCCTCAGAAGCCAGAGGTGTGGGATTTCCTGGAGCTGGCATTTCAGGTGTTTGTGAGCTGTGTGACATTGTCGCTGGGATCCAAACTTGAGAGCAGTATGTGCTCTTAACTGCTGAGCCATCTCTTTAGGCCCCAAGAGATTACTTTTGGTCTTAGGAAATCAAGGGAAGAAATTTTTGGTTTTTATTTAGAAAAAATTAAGATGCAGCTAATCATAACATTATCTACCTGTCACCCAGAATCAATAATTATTAACATTTTTGTTTAATTTGATTTCAGGGTTTCTTGAAGCTCACTGTGTAGATCATCAGGCTGGCCTCTAACTTACAGAGATCTGCCTGCCACTGCCTCCCAAGTGTTGGGATTAAAGGCATGTGCCACCATACCCATCTTAATTTTATTTAAATTTATTTTTACTTTATATGTGTATTTTGCCTGCATGAATGTAAGTGTATCGTGTGTGTACAATGCCTGTGGAGGCCAGAAGAGGGCATTGGATCCCCTTGAACTGGAATTAGAGATGGTGGTTAGTTGCCATGTGGGTGCTGGTGCTGGGAACTAAACCCAGATCGTCTGTAAGAATAATCAGTGCTCTTAATTGCTGAGCCATCTCTTCAACCTAATTTGATTTAGCTTTTATTTTTTGAGATAGGGTCTTTATTGCCCAGGCTGGCCTATAACTTGTGAATTTCCTCTGGCCCCTCTTTTCTTGGTACACAGCCCATGCTGGCCTGGAACTTGCTATGTAGACCAGGATGTTATCAAACTCTCATAGGGAACACCTGCTTCTGCCTCCTGAGTGCTGGGATAAAAGGTGTGCACCACCATGCCTGGTCCATTTATTTACTTATTTTTTAATCTAGCAAACTTTATATTAGGCAGTGAATAGAGATTCTTCCTTGCCTGCTTTTGGTTTTGATAATAGACAAAGGGTCAGTGATGGCTGGAGTGGTCCACTTGTAGTGAAGTCTCTGTTTTGCTGTGTCAGGAAGTGGAATAGGGTCTTAGAAAAGGTAAAGCTGGACTAGGAGTAAAGCTTCAGTGAACATTTGGGCACAAGCAGAATCTGAGAGAGGGGAATGTTGTCCTCTAGGTCAGTTGGTTGACCAGATAGATCCCTTGGGAGCAGGTGAGTACTCAAAGTCTAATGTCCTTGCATCATGCACAGATAAGTTTGCTGTCTTGATTGCCCTTCTAAAATAACAAATCAGTAGGCCTGCATCTGTGTCATGCAGTGCCCTCAGAGGTCAGAAGAGGATGTTGGATCCCCTGGAACTGGAGTTATGGTGGTTGTTAGCCACCATGTGGGTGCTGGGAATTGAACCCTGATCCTCTGCAAGAACAATCAGTGCGCTTAACTGTGAAGCCATCTCTCTAGCCCCACTTTTTGTTTTTTTGAGACAGTGTCTCCCTGTACCCCCAGGTGGCCTGGAACTTGCTATGTAGATCAAGCTAGCCTTGATCCCACAGAGATATGCCTTCCTCTGCCTCCTGAGTGCTGGGATTTAAAATAAAAATTTTGCTTCCCTGTGTATGA